CATCCTTGCTGGTTAGAAACAATGCTGTAACACAGACGTCGCAGTGCAGTACCGTGGTGTCACAATGATCAATGGTGACTTTTTTTCTGAATTGTAGCGACCACAAGAGACCTGAAAGTAAGTTTGTTCAACACTGTCTGAATGCAATTGCTGTTATGTATAAGAAGTGTGGAAGGGGACATGGGACATGCAATTTAGTTTTTCATATATCTGAGGGCACAGTTACTTCCTCCTGTTAACCTAGACATTACAGGATTCTGTGGAAAAAAAGACAAAAATCGTATAAAAGGATTACAAAGCTGATGACTGCTTGATAAAAGGAGCTAATGTCAGCAGGAGAGAAATTTCATGGGAAGTGAAGGGCAAGACTGACCTCACATTTTAAACAGAAAAACATGAAGATGCAGTTTTATTAGCCTGCTTCCCTGACATCTCTCTCTCATTGAACAACCTACCGGATAAGAAAAATAAAAAAAAGCTGTCAAGAGCACAAGCCTGAAGGCAGCCTGAAACAGACCTGCCTGCATGCCTGAAACTTGAGGTGAAGGCATTATGGCTCTCCACAGGCCCTGAATCGCTTCTCATGCTACAAACAACAGAACCTCTGTCTTTAACCACAAGTCCAACATTTACTCCACATCTCTCTCCATCTGTTGCTGCAAAACCTGCTGACTGTGGTAGGGTTGGAGGGGTCTGCGCTGGCACAGACGCCGGGCAGCTGTATCTGTACCTGGCTAGTTGAGTACGAGAAGTGCAGGAAAGCTTGCTGAAGGAGCACATTGCAGTCAATGGGGTTGCACCAACGTAAACAAGACCCAAACTTAACGTAATACTGCAATGATATTAAATAGGTCTTTAAAAAAACCCGAGCAGTTGTACGTTACAAATAATCTTCAGTACTAAAGAAGCTGTCATTTACCCATGCTTAACATAAAATGTTGCTTAAGACACTAGTTATTTCCTGTTCTAAGTATACATAAGCACATTCATAAGTAAAATAAGGACTTTTAAAAGTTAGCTCAGAAAGTCCTTAAAAAAAAAAATAATATGAATACAACTGTTACAGCTAGAAAGTCACCAGAATTGGCAAGTTCTTAAAAAGCTTTTTTGGATCTTGTGACTAAAATATTTATGGAAATATTTTTTTCTATGTTCTGTAATACAATAGCATGTTACAAATCAGTAAGCACACAGAAACTGCATGAGTAAAATTCACTATTTAATGGGGCACGACAGCAGTAACTCCAACAGGGACTCAGCGAGTCCTGCAGAACCGGCTCCTGCAGAAAGCACTACTCCACTCCTTCCCTCTAGACTGCAGGTGGAGAGGTGGGACTGGACCCAGCGGAGCAAGGGACAAGAGACACATCTGGGAAGTCATAGCTGTGCCAGGTTGGATCATGACAGTTTTTGCTAGCGCACCGTGAAAAAGGATCAAAAGACAAGCACACCCCCGCACCAGCCCACACCTGAATCCATTTTCTGGTTTTTCCCCCAGAGCATAGTGCCAGCTGTGGGAAGCCAAGTAGCAGGTCTGACCTGGCCAGCTACCTTAATTTTAGATCCAGCTCCTGATCTGGCCATCCTGGCAGGACTTTGTTAAGGAGTAAGAGCAAATTACAAGTGGTTGTGTGGGCTGCAAAGGAAAGCAATAGACCCACAGATTTGCGAACTTCAAGAGACAAATACTGTTATAAAATTATAACCTTACTCGAAACAATGTAATTTGTGTACAAGGCTGATAAATATTCTGAAATGTTACAATAAATAGCACACAGTTGTAAAAACAGTAAATAGTTGCATTTTCCACACTGCAGTACAGCAACAGAAAATATTAGCTTCTCAAATCACAACCTGCCACGTGCCACAGCAGGAAATAAACGTGGCCAGCTAACCTGCCTGCTAGGTACACGCTGAAAAAGTACTTATGTGATGGACAGTCAAGGAAAGAGCACCGTGAATGATACTGTATAGATGATGTATTTTTCTCATGTAAGTAATCTTAATAAAGTAGTAACTGTGAGTTTTAGCACCTATCAGTTAATAGCATTAACTATTATGTGAAGATACACTTTTCTCTGTTAAAATTGCCATTTCAAAGAAGGTAGACCCGGACTTACGGAAAGTCTGCTTGAGCAGTGACTTGCCAGGGGCTACGTCTGGAGGTATCTGTTTAGATCCACCTCTCAGTTTCTCACTTCTTTGAGGGAAGCTGCTGGTTTTGCAAAGGAACATTTTTATCTTGAAGTTTACAATCATACGCAAGTTAAACGTGGGCATTTATAGGGGAAGATTCAAGTAAAAATGATCCACTTTAATGATCTGAACATTTTAAAAGTTAAAGAGATGGCTCTGTAACTTACTAATTTTGTGTAGAAAAATTGTTATTCACGTGGCAGCGCTGAATGATGAATGATTTTTTCAGTTTGCATTACAGAAATGGAAGCTCTCAGCGCTATCAGTGAAACCAGTAACTAACCTTTTCCATAAATGATCGATGGTGGTGTCGGACAAGGGTCTTTAGATAGCAAACACACGAATTGAACAGCTAGAGAACGTACAGTACTACTTACTGTAGGGACAGCTGGCATTCTTACTACTCTTCGGCTCACCGAAAATATACAGGTTTTAAAATGGAAATCTAAGGCACACAAAATACCATAATGATTTGATGTAGACTGTATATTACATAGTCAAGAAGCATAAAACTGCTGGTACAAAACGATGGCATAATATTGTTTTTGTTTTATTATTATTTACAATCCCTTCATATCCTCTATTTGAACTAATATTAAGCTTTGAACTAAAATTTGCAGCATACCCGGTTTTTACAAATTGTACTTAAAATAGGTAAGATACAAAGAATGGCATCAGTTCGGCCATCCTCTGCCATCACCGTTTTTGTTAATTTCGACAGGAATCTGTAGAACTGAACCCAAGGTCGTTACATAGTGATTGCTACTTCAGACCTTGCTCCTGCAAACACTCCACCTGTCGAGATGGATACAGGAGAACAGTCTCATCGATCTCCAGCCGCACTGAAGTATTCGTAGCACCAAGGTCCTAACTGGCACTATGTGTTAAAAATACAACTGATGTGCTTTTCGTACCGAAACTGTGAATATAGCGCTTACAGTTCAGCTTTTCAAGGAAAAAGCACCTTGTCTAGGTTTTAAATAAAGCAGATGTAGATAGTTCATATTCCTCTGTTACAGCACCACTACATGATAATATTATCAAGTATATTATTAGTGTATTTTCGCACTGGAAAACTCTGACCTCGTTATACCTACAGACTACCCAGCCGGGGAGGACTCCGAGGCAGAATTAAGGTACAGCTTCGTCTCGGGGGCCTGATCCTGCAGCTCGCGGGCACGAGAGGAGTCCTGGCTGGAGCGGTCCTCCTGGCTCTGACTGGGCAGGTATGGCTACACAGAGCTGTTCTCATAGAGGAAGTTGCAGGATGAGGTCGGTCCTTAGCTAACATTGCCATTTGGTAATTTGTTTAAATAAATAAGTTTAAAAAAGAAATACATAGGAGAGGAGAATCAGAAAGAAGAGTGGGATGCTACAGTATTTAAAAGCAACGGAGTGTGTGTTTTTCCTCTGGTTTAGCAAATATTTGTTTCATGATATGTCACTTTTTCAACAGAAATGGAGAACATAAATTTCGTATGTTTGGAAGGAAGAATACAACCCTTTCTCTACATGAAATGTATAAATCACTTAAAAAATTTACAAAACATTTTTGTAAAAAAAATGACCTTAGGAAGCTGGTGAATATTACAGGTGGGTAACGCTTAATGAAAAATTTGCTGCTAATATTAGAAATTTCATACTTTTCCAAAACTTCCTTTGTATTTTCCCCAAATTATTTTTTTTTCCAGACTAGAATAAGGCAACTCTAGGGGGTATTTTATTATCCCAAAACAATCCTACCCCTGAGGCATTAGGAACATTTGGTTGTTGTCTTCACTTATAATGCTCCAAATGAATGAGACTTATGCACTTATTGCTCAAAGGAATTGTAACAAATGCTGCCTTTAAAAAAAACAAATAATATTCGTAACTCCCAATAGCAACACACGTATTGACGTCTCCCAATTTCATGTTTGTACACTCTCTTGAAAATAATAACATGTTTCTGTATTTTATAACTGTTTATATGCAACATAAAATCTTCGATGAAAAAGGGCAAGTCTAAAAACAATCACATATGCTGTTAAGCATACATACTGCAGCTGTAACAATATGGAACTCTACACAGCAAGAATAAAATGATTTCTTCTGTAGAGTATGCACAAACCTTAGACAATATGATCCTTATACTATACTATTTCAAGTTAATTTTAAAAATAGAAAGTGCTTTTAAAATATATATTTACAGCTTAAAAACAACTTCCAGCCATCATTACCAATAACTTCATTTCATACACAATGACAAATCTAGAGAAAAAAATTCATTGGTTTTCTAAAAGATTTATCTGTAATTTGGACTATATAGCAATGGTTGGAAGTTGTTAAAGCAATGGCACCATGAAGTAATAATTCAGCTTATTTATTTTTAACTGTTTGATGTGGTTAAGCACCAAGAGCTGTGTAGAGCTATTACTGTATAACTTGATTTAACACCATAAAATGTGAACCTGTTAAAATCCCTATAAATGACTTTTGTAGTAAACAGACTTGATTTAAAGCACCAAAATATAAATTCCTAAAGGTAATAAACTGAATGATTCAATCAAGGTTAATAACCTAAACAAAATCTTTTTTAGAATGTATTAAAACTATACAACTTTTTTTTTTTTTGCTTAAAATGTGCTTGAGCACCACCAAATGTTAAAGTCACAGTTTAAGAAGAAATCCCCCCCCTTTTTTTACCTCAGCCTTAAAATGGTTGAGATGAGCAAATAGTAAACGACACGAGACTTGTTCTTTAACAGCACCTTAAAGAAACACTGTGTAGCACTGCACCAAGAGGAGGCATTTGATACTAAAACCTATGCCCAATGGTTGTAAGGCCCTGCGACTCGTGTAAGGGCGTACGAAGATACTGTTATTACGTTATCCTTAGTTACTGTTAATGCTCTGCGTGATGGAATTTGGTTGAACTCATTGTCTTCATAAAAAATATCTCTGTTTTCACTTGTTTGCTTTGTTTTCCTGCTGCTAGAGTTTAGTTCCGTATTCTCCGTTCCTAACCTTTCTGCTTCTTTTTCTTTTTCCTTCGCCCTCTCAGCCATCTTTGCTTCCCACATGGCTAAACCATGTTTTGGCTCATTTAAATTTTTGTGTTGGTAGAAAACTAAAGAAATTCTTGTGGGATGATTGCGGTTAGGTTTTTTAATAGGTGTGGTAGCATGGAGTTCACGTCTTGCACATTCAATTAAGATAGAACCATGAGAAGGTGCCACAGCAACCCCGCCAATGTCATCATCCAAAAAATTGTGCTCGCTGTCCGACCACATTTCCTCAGCTTTTTCTTCAGAATCAGTCGGTTGTCCCAGTGCACTGTTCTGCTTTTCATCACCACAGTCAAAATCACACGTCTGTTCTCGATGGGAGCTGCCCTTTTCCACTGGGCATCCATGGGAACAGTCAGCTTCGTTTCCGACTGCATCCTTTGCCGGAGAGCTTAGCGGTACTGACAAATCACAAGAGCTGATCATCTGTGAAGAAGGAGAATTGTCTAACTGAAGCTGACAATTCTGTTTGTCTGGCTGATGTTCAAGTATAGTGGGCAGGGGGTCTTTATGGGCTGGGGAGCCTGGAGCAGTGACCTCTGGAAGAATTGGTGGCACACCATTCATCTTATCATTCAGCAAAATTCCAGTATAATCTTTGACCGACACATCAAAGTTCTTACAACTAACGTAAGGTGTCACGTGAGGTTGCTTGCTACTGCATTCAAAATACCCGTAGGGAACTGAAAAATCTTGTTGAATATTAGTCACTGCTGTTATGCCAGGCTTATGTGCTAAAGACGAATAAGGATGTAAACTATCCACCTTAAAAGGGGAGGAAGCCGTATACTGTTTTAATAAAGAGCAATTTTTAGTAGTGTTTGAAGTATGTTTCATGGCATAGAGGTGATCGGAAGTCTCCGTTTTTATTCCAGGTTTTAAAGCATCTGTTTTGTTCCCTAAAAAAAATGCACACCAAAGTGTAAGTACTTTTCCTCACTTAGTTAATAAAATACACCTTTTACAATATTTGCATACTTGCTTTCTAATATGTAGGACATACGTGATGACTACAGATTTTTCAAAATGGTTATTTTTGGCTTTTGAGGAATATCTCTATGACCGTAAGTACATATGTAATAACCTTGCTGAAGTAACGCCTTAACCTTTTATATACCAGCAATCTGACTGGAAAATAGAAATGTATTTCACAAAGGGATGAATAAAATAAACAGATAAAATGAAATAAACACTCAGTCCCGATTCACACAGCCCAGTTCTACACAAGTGCTTCCCAGCAGCTGACCGCTCGCCTTCAGCACTGCCCAGGCTAGCAGTAAAATTATGTAGAAGTTGATGAAAATTAGAAGAAGATGAAAATTAGTCTGTCTGAAATCAAGTCTGTGAAACAATCAAAATTCTTGGCTGCCTTAACCCCATATTATGTCTGAAGGAAAAATTGTGTTTATAGATCTTGTCCATCGCAGCAAGAAAGTTACTGAATTACAATGATTTGTGCATTAGCAAGCAACTACTCAGAAATTTTCTGGAGGAAAAAAAAAAAAAAGTATCTGGCAACATACTCCAGGTAAATCCATCGCCATCCTTATAGAATCACAGAAAGTTTGGGGTTGGAAGGGACCCCTAGAGGTCATCTAGTCCAACCCCCTGCAGAGAGCAGGGACACCGCTAACTAGATCAGGTTGCTCAGAGCCCTGTCCAACCTGGCCTTGAGACACCTCCACGATCCTCCCACCCTACTCCGAAGGGCAACACCCTCACATGGCCAAAAACACGACTGACAGTATATACCACAGTTAGCTCATCTCACTGCATGTTCTCCATATTCTTTTAGTATTTAAATAGCCAAACCAATATTCTAAACTCTTGTCCTTATCAGTAAATCCAGTACTATACATTACGTACACCATTTATCAATAGCTTTTCCTTTATAGTTGAAGTGTCGTCAAGTATTCTTTTGTCCTTACATTAGGGGAAAATGTAATAGTAGCATCTGACTTGCTTAATGTACCTTTAGCAGTACTTTATTCACTGCTTACCTAAAACTGTACTCAGTATTTTTTTCTTCTCCTAGTAAGTTTTTCTATCATTTTTTTTAACTGTTTTTCAAACCTTTGTCTTTTCATTTATGTGTAAATGGTGTGACTAGAATTGAACGCCACTATTAATACGAAGGGATCCTGATTTAAATAACCGTTTCCTCTAGTTTACCATCAGGAGTGACTACTGGATAGTCTAATTTCAACTCCTGTCTCACAAGCCCTGTGATTTTGTTTTCATACTGAGCTTAACAATCTCAGCTAGAGTAAAATTTTCCATTCCTCAGGACTAAAATGCAGAATGGCAAGAACCAATCAATGACTGATCCCCTATAACTGCAAAAAACTGTATATACAGGTATAATACTGTCGTATTCAAAATATAATTCACAGACCTTTGCATTTTACCGTGGGTTGGGGGCAGGGCAGCAGTGGTGCGCTGAGGTCTTTACGGTGACGCCCAGCCATCACCCTGTATGACTACCATAAACACATAAATGCTCCAAGTTATTTAGCTCGTGCAGAGCACACCACCTTGCCCTCTGCAAACCGGGACTTTGATGGCACTGCTGCCCAGCTAGCGCAGCCTCTCTGGACCTGTTCTCAGGCCAACCGCAGCAGTACGTGCCTCACCAGCAGATCTGGAGATTAGAGGGTTGAGATCTAGGGATTCTACTGTCAAAACTTCCATGGCAAAAACTGCAGTTTTATGATAGAAGCTAAGTATTTCTATTCATATTATTTTTCCATCTCTGAACAACTTTCTCTCTCTACAAAAGTACTTCTTCCTCACTCTGTCACCTCATTTTTATCAGCAGCCCTTTTAAATTGCTTTACCAAAATATTTCAAGTCCTAACAAATTATGTAAGTTGGCTTGTTTACACAGTTATTTTATTATTTTTGCATGTTCAAGGAATAAAGTTCCCACAGCATATGGCTAAACTCTCGACATTGTCCCATTTGTTAACAGCCTGGTTTTCAGACATCAAAGCCATGCCTATGTGTAACTACCATGTCCTGTACAGGTAGGCGGTTCACAACTCTGTTCCAGTGAGATCAGACAATTTCAGAATTCCTTCCCAAAGCAGAGCCCTCTAATGCTTGCAGGATGTCCAGCCCAGCCCGAGCACGATGAAAGTTATTAATCATTGCTCTGGAGTTATTGTTGGCCGTCGTCCTCGGCCTGAGGAGTCCTTTTATATTTGTTCCAAAGCCTGGGCTGTGGCTCCCGAACTCCTATGTAGATTAACTGAATGCCTGTCTAATTTCCTAAGGGTGTCAGTAAGACCACTTTTCTTGTTCTTATTCCATCTTGCTACATGCAACTTTTATTGGTTGCCCTGACTCCTCTGCTAAGACAAAGCAGGGTGTGGAGTGCAAATTATGAAAATGTGTCAAATGAGGTTTTTTTTTAAGGGGGTTTTGTGCCCCCCCCCGACATTCTTCTAAATACATTTAACTATTATTCCTGCCTTAAATCTGCTACATATATCTGGATGTCTCTCATGAAATAAAATCCAAAATTTTAGCAGATAAAAGGCTAGGCTATGCTTTAATTATTTTATTTTCCCCCTCTAATCACAGAATCCAAGTCCATAGCTTCCTCCACCTTTTCTACTTCCCATTACTGCAAAGTCCCACAGAACAGTTCTATCCTCTGACGTACTGGTCCAAAATCTGGCCCCAGGCCCAAGAGCAGAAATCCAAAGCACCTCCACACAGCTCAGTGAAGTCACGATGCTACGCTGCACAAACACCTACTGTAGCAGAAGCCTGTGGCCATAGTAACCTTCCTGTAACAGAAGAAGGTCGGCATACCTTTTACCTGGCTGCTGACAGATTCCGCCTCTCTGGCCCTTGCTAATAATATTTCAAGGAACAATTTGCAAAACACTGTCTTATTTGATAAAACCTGGGATTTTTTTTGCAAAACTCTTGCTTTGCAGCAGTATCAATGCCCTCGATAGGAAATGATCATCAACTCAGATTCTGAGAAAGCCATTACCTTTCATAGGAAGTGGGTAACACAGTTCTTGTACTTTCAAATGACAGAAATTCATGCTGGTTGTTTAGATAAACATCCCTACAACAGTATTTCAAGACGATCCTACTGCCATTACTTATTAGAGTAAGGGAACTTGGAAATATTTCACTGGTGCTGAAACACCACCGCAAAGTTACTTTCGGGCAATCACCATTTTTTTTTTCCTGTGCCAAGAAAGACTATAGACTACAATGACAAGCTCACTAGCCCCTAAAATGCAGAATACACAAGTGTTTCATAAAACGGAGCAATAAGGAGCTTCCTCTTCCCCTCCAGTGGGTAAGAGGCAACACAGTACCAGGAGAGACTGGCAGAATTTAATAAGCACCACTCACCTAAACAATGCAAAGTGTTGCCAAGATTTTCTGGGGCTTCGGTTTTCAGCTTTACTGGTGTTGAGTATTTTTTATCTATTAATGGCTGCTTTTCAGTCGGGGTCCTCCTTGTGTCTGGTTTCTTTTTCTTTGTAGCTCTGAGAGGCTCAGCTAACATACGCACTTCTCTGGGAAAAGCTGTGAGCACCTGTATGGCTCCGGCTTTTATCTTAGCTTCCAGTCCCTCTTCGGTGCCGAATTCATCCGTTTGAGAGATTTTGTAAAGAGGTAACACATGGAGCTGCTCATCGCTTGGGATCACCCCCACTCTCCGGTTATCTTCCTTCGTTAACGTACAGACCTGGCAAGAACAGAAACAGTTACAAATACAACCACATACATAAAATACAGAAGTTATTTAAATATTTAAGCAGTCATCCTAGACTTCATTGTTTTCTCATATTTTATGGCCTCAGTGCTATTGAGTCTTTCAAATGCAAACATCTGACAAATATCTTGTTTGATTTATGATGATGCAGAAAAATCATTGGTACTTGAAGAATAAGATCAAGGCACATCTCTTGGACAGGGAAAACGCAGCTTTGGCTCAACCTACGCTATCCACAAATACGTGCCAACCTTGGTAAATAGTCTGAGCTGTAAATATACTGCAAATTCCTAAGCGTTCGGGGGTTGTTTTTTTTTAATACATTTGATGTTCAGATTCATTTTTAAGGATTAAAAAATATGATAAAAGAAAATACTATTTTTGGATTGAGCAGAAGTTTCTATGACATGGAACTTTTTGTTTGTTTGTTTTGGCTGGCAAATGACAAAAACCCTACAAACAGTTACTCATATTGCTCTATATTTTTAGCAAGTCTCAGCTCTAACTCCCTCACTCTCTCTTTACACACACTTTCTTAGATTAACACCCTTCCCCAACTCTGCCTGCCTGCTGTAATGAAGTCATGACACCCAGCAAATCTTTGGTTTCTCTCAGACCACTGACCTACTTTCTCTCAGTAAATTACGTCTTGCAAGATACTGGAGCCGAAATGAGACTGCTGCTTAGATCCAGTGTGATAAGGGCACACCAGAAATCTGGATCAATACTCAAATTCACTGCAACAGTTTTCTTACTGTAACTTCTCCAAACCAGTGCTGAACCTTTGCAGTACTTATAGTGTTCAGCACTTCTGGAGTTCCGGCCATTACCAGTATTAACCCTTCAACAGCACTAAAGCCAGCAGTATCTTTGCTGGTTTCATTCTGTGCTTTCCAAGGGATGGCGACCGTTTTACACGCACAAGCACGCGTACAAATAGTGACACCATTTATAGGTTTATTGATTACATTCATAAGAGACTGCTGGTTTTCACGACGTTACTAGAAAGCCATGCATTAAAATCATGGCTTAGTTAAGCTGCTGTTTCCCAGGGAGTTACTAACTACACAGAGACAGGAGTTTGAGTGCCATCCAAGGATGAGATGATACTCCCTAAATGGAAACGTTATCATTCCATCATTGTGTAGGCTCAATGTGATGCCTGTCACAAACAGTTAATCCAATTGCCCAGAATCTTGTCACCATGGCTAACACTCCAGGGGAGAATAATAATATTATTTAGGCAGGGAAAAACAATCATTTTTTATTCTATAGCACAGCTTTCACACAAAGGCATCACACGATTATTTCCAGAATATTAAAATTACGGAATCACAAACTCAAAATCCTAAATCAATAAGGTGGTGGTTAGGGCTTTACAAATAGCTATATGCAAAGCTTGACAGTTGCAGAGCAGCAAAAGGAGAAAATTTGAGGGGCACTGACACAGGAGAAGAGCTTTTCAGGTGGCATTTGGAAGGATCGAGAGAAGGGCTCTTAAGAAGGCAAAGTGAAGGGGCAGTTAGCAGCTGATGGGTAGCGCTTACTCATGTGCTTGCTCCATGCGCACTTACCTCTTCCGGGCAGCCTTTGGACTATGAGGAAGATTTAGAAAAAACAACAAGTTGTTCCATGAGCAGCAAATGACACCTGGTCCCCTACGGACTTCTCTGTCCCCACGCTCCCCCGCACCCAAGCCCAGCGGCGCACGTGGATTGACCTGGGGCCACGGCTGCGAGGACCCTGCCGCCTCCTCAGCGGAGGAGCTGGCCTGGGTCTGTCTGCCCCACTCAGCAGTGAAATTTCACAGCGTGGAACAAGAAGTTAAAAATCTCCAGAGACAATTACATTTCTGCAAAGTTCAGGGAAAACTGGCTGACATTCGCCAGCAGATTCCAAGTTGTTCAGGAAAGGTGAAAGAGGGTAGGACATACAGAGAGCACAATTACACGCGACTCGCGCCCAGCACACCCTCCCCTTCTAAATTAAAAGCCAAAGCAGTAAGAAAATGAGCATGGAGGGGCCTAGCTCCCACTTGTTCTCATCAGAAACTGCGTGATTCTCACTTGTCTTTTAAAATATTCTGTCCAACCTGTCTGGGCCCATGCACTAGTCTGGAACATCTTCAAATCTTGAAGATTCAATCCCCAGCCTTGCTTATTTTGAAAACTGAGACCCTCATCCAGATTACAGTTCTAAATTTTCCTGCATTTCACCAGACACTTCCACGGAAAACTGATCTTGCACATTTATTAGATTTATTCTTGTCCGTACTCTTAAAAATGTATCCTTCATCTGACTTACAATGAGGCAAAGGTAGATCAGCTCTACATTCCCACAATGCTTGGCCCAGGGGAGAGCATACAAGCAGAGACAAAAATCAAAGCTTGTACTGGTTGAAGGAAAACATATTTTCAGCAAAAATGAGTATTTGTCACTATCACAAAGCCACCACCCTCTTTAGAACAAGAAAGCTAAAGAACTGTTTTCTGGAACTGAAGATGATGAGGGCTGCAGTATACTGGCAGAACTATGCTGAAAGTATAAGTCAACTCCCACACATATAATGTATTAAATACTGAGTTATAATACATAAAATTAAGAAATTGATGTATATTAAAAGTTATGTTTAAAACCTGAAGACTGGTACACCTACAGCCTAAATACCATGACAGCAAATTTAATGTAAAATTTCAAGGTCAGTGTCCCCCATAATGTATTTTAATATAAAAGAAAGGACACAATGGCAAGCGGATAACTGCAAAGTTAATATTATGGGGACACCAGCTATAAATTAAGGCCCTAGAGAGAAGCTAGCAACTTACAGCTGAAGTAGAGTAATCCACCAAATGAGAAACAACTGCTTCAAAAGCCAGTCCAATATTCAAATCTGTGCAAAACGTTCCATTGAGAAACTTAATGAGAAGCTACCACTGAGAAGTTCAAAGCAACATTTTCCACTGGTACCAATACTGTGCTGCAAAACTGACCAAAATGAAACCCGAACGTGAGGAAATCCTGGGCTCTGTTAAAGCCCGTTTACACAGTGAAGCTGCACATCCTGCTGCACGACATGCTTTTTCCAGAACATGCAGTTAAATCATCCAGGATGTTCAAAAGCCAAATAAAATGTTGGCCAAGTGGTTTGTTTAGGTTTCCAGTGTGCTTGGTGATCAAAACCATTACCTACTCTGGGTTTAGTGATGTCATGGTAAATCTTGCATCTTCTTAAAACTTTGGTGGTTTTTTGGTTTTGTTTTTTGTAAAACTTAGAATGTACCCATGAACTCCACGTAATTCCCTCCACAGATCTCCACACATCAGTAGCCACATGGCTCCCAGTGCATTATTCTGGGACTCTCTGCTCTGCCTTTGCCCTCTTGAATGTCACACGTAGATGCGATGTAGCCTTTCCCACTGTGTCCTAAGAACAGATGTTTTACATTCCAGTTTCAGCTAAGCAGTCAAACAGCCTTCCTACACTTGAAAGATGGAATCAGGTTTCAGATACCTTCCCTTTGTGCAGTGGGTGCCATTTGGGACACTGAGATGCTGCTGCATCATCACTGCCTACCACTACAAACGAATGACATTGGTCTTCCTTTACAGCTGAGACAAGCCATGTCCTTTCACTGGCCTGTAACACCCTGAGTAAGTCTGAGTGTCAGAGAAGGGAACCCCACACGTATTTGTCTTTTGACCGCTACATACACACAGAGGAAATGTCATCAGGCAGCGTCTCTGTACCATATGCTGTAACACAGGTACAGCGCGCAAGCCGCTGTCTGGGAGCTCGCAGGTTAGCAGAGTGACATTTTCACAATACAAAGAACAGTAACAAAGTTCCTTCCAGCCCTGCGGGGTTTCTCCTTTCTATTTGTTATAATCTGAACCACCAGTTTAAGCACCTAGTACTTCTGCAGCGCACAGAGCAAGCTGTGGGCACAGTCCAGAATGTAGCCTAACCATTCCCAGAGATGTTCTGTCATTTATTGCAAAGGCCTGGACCTATATGCAATGCCTTGATGAGCTATAACTACAGAAATACAGTAAGTTATTGGAAAAGCAGAGTTAGATTTTTAAAAAAATAAATCAGGAACAGTTTTGTTCACGGATTGCTGATTGACACTACTGAGTCCTGCTGCCAATAATAAATTTTATATTGTAGCTGCCCTTGGAGCATAGATTTATCTTCATCCCCTTCTTCCCCAGTGCCTGCTACAGACTGCGTGGCACCAATGACTGCACACAGTTGCAGCTGGTCTCCCCCCTTCCTCAGCCCCAGCAAAAAGGGCAGCGTGCCCCACAGGATGGGAAGCACCCAAACACGTGCTGCTCAGCTAGCAAAGGCTGCACTGAACCACCGCGTTCCAGTCGGTGCAAAACCCCGTAGGTCAGTGATTGAAATGGATTCACGCAGGTATGCAGAATGTCATCCTTTGCAGCTAATTCAATAAGGAAAAAAATACTTACATTTCACAAACTCCATTAATAACTATAAAGCTTTTATTTGCGCGTTGCTCATTTACAGTCCAGCTTCATATCTGCAAGGAACACTGCACCCTAACGCTGCAGTTGTAATGTACATCAGTGCCCCTTAGGAGACCATTCAAACACGACAAAAGAGTCTGAGCGAAAAATGGATGGTAAATTTATTGACTTAAAAGATTCTTAAAAAAACTCAATTCATTGAAAGAAACAAAAGCAATTTCTGCCTGACAAACACGTTAGCTTACACCTCTGTAGAAATGCCAAGTGTTTTCCTTCTACTACAGAGCAAACAGGGAATATTCAATTTTTTTTTTAGCTTTTCTACCAAAAAGTTGCTCTGCTAAATTCAGGGCGTGATTTTGCTAGCCAGGAAATACATTCAGCATATCAGATCTTCCACAGTAATGCTCAATTTTTGTAAGTTAAGATGTACTATGCTATCTTGTATCTACAGAAGACAATTCCAGGACTTTTTCCCCTCCACTGCTAACAACCACCTCATTTATTTTCATAGTCACATACAAATAATGCAGCTCATCATCGAAACACGTATACCCAGAAAAATGCAAAAATGCGTTCCTGAACTCCTGGCAGAGACAGAGCAAGGAAATTGTCATTGGCAGCTCATCAGATAATATATTCTTTAAGTACACAGTAAACTCCATGCTTATCATTAAACTCATATAAGTGCTTTGCTGAACTCAGGCCTGTCTCTGGTTTAAATAATTTAAACAGATTCTGGTTTTCCTTGACTTTCGGTGCACTGTGCAGCACTCCTTTCCTGTTTGTGGTGAAAGCGATTCACCAACAACCGCAGGGAGAAAATGAAAAGGTGTCACGCTGTAAGTAGTGGGGATAGAGCTGGCAGCACTTGCAAATACCAGCTTATAAGGTATTGATTTTAATCTGTTTAGGCTAGAGGAACTTTACATTTTATAAATGAAGCTTTTGTATCAGAGTAAGAAGGAAGAGAAGAAATCTTACCAACACGAACGAGCTGCGAGATGACAAGTACACTTTGTATGGACTTTAAACTGTAAGGTGTGACTACCATTTGAAAGAAATCAAATAAACGAAACATAAGACGAAAATGGTAAATAAAGTTATGGATGTTTGAGGTTTGTAAGACAGTGCAAATCATTCTCATTCTGTTTATTACCACATTACCAGAAAACAATCATCTATATGAAAGCCGTCACCTCAGTTAGATGTATTGCTTGCACATAGTACATTTTACAGACAAAATACGTCATAGGTAAGATGTAAGTGATGACTCCATCATTATTACCAGTGATCTGTAAGAAATCATAGTGTATGTTAAACTAAGGAGGTGGCCAAAGCAGCTTCTGGAACTAGATGGGAAAGCAGGAGGTGACCAGACAGATGGCAGAATCACACTTAGTAATTGATTTTTGTGTTCTTATCACTACTTTTCCTATGTTATTACCAAACTTGGTTATCAGCCAAAATTAACCACCCTCATTTTGATCATCACCAAACTGATCTAGATTGAAGAAAGTCCAGCACGCCCTATCACCCTGTCTGCAAAACAACAACGTTCTTTGCTTCAGACTTCCAGAATGTACCCCTGTAATTCTACACCTCGACAGGCCAAGAGACAGCAAGCTCTGTACATCCCCTGAATCACACCCCCACCGTCTTAGGGTGAAGGCCGTGCGTAGATCCTTCGGCAGCTCTGAACTCCAATTCAACTTCTAAATGCCCCAATTCAAATATATAAATTGAATGTTAATACTTGCAACTATTTCCTATTTATTTTGCTTTGTATTAAGTATATTAAAATAAAGAGATATCAAATCTACGTAACGAGAATATCAGGTATGCAACAGTTATTTGTATGAGCGAGCTACCTGATGAAAATCAGATTCCAGGGTATAGGTTTCAGCATTTACAGTGATTTGATAATGTTCTGCAAGACTTATAAAATCTGGCAGAACTTGATAGAAAGACAGTAAGCTCTGGCCTACACAATGACCTTACACTGGTCATAATTTTCCATGCTCCTTAGATTTGGAATTACTCACAAACACACCACGTACAATCCACACAAATAGTGTCAACAGCAGCAAGGATTATCTGAAGCTGGAATTACATCAGATCATTACAGATAAAGACATTTGTAGAACTGTTCCCCAGTACATTCCTCAAAAGAAGGGCGAATTGTCCCTCCAGCCACTTCTGGTCATAACTTCAGACTTTTCTGGGATCCAGTATGGCAGAATGAGTAGCAAGTTCAGTTTCCATTTCATTTGGTCTTTAAGTTAAGAGGCAATGTAGCACTTCACAAAATATTATCATTTTTAGAATATCTAAATTAAATTTCATTAAAAAGGATACCATGCAGGTTGCCATGAACAGGAAGCCTCATTGTCAAATTTGGGATCTTTAAGAGGTTTGAATTCCTATGCGTCAGAAGCTTTGAAGTGACTGTACGTACACACGAGCTTACTCGTAGCATCTCACTAGTATTTTGCAAAGTATGCTTCCAGCATTTTCTTATAGAATATCTGCATGTAAGTGGCATTCAGTGATAGGCAAAAATATTAGTCTATTCAGGACTGGCATTCCTAGTGCATTCCGAGACCTGCTTCCATACTTTAAAGTAGCTGCCATTTGCCAAACATACAAGCACAGAATTAGTATTAAACAACTGTTCCAGTAGCTTCATTGCTGGCACAAACAAATGCTAAATGTTAAGTATGTGTAAATGCAACATTTTATTGAATCATAGCACCATAATAATTCAATTTGCATTTCCAAATTTAGAAAAGACTGTTTCTGGAGTAGGCAGGGATTTTAGAAAGTTTTTTTTCTTCCAGATATGCATCCTTTGATAGAGAAATTGTTCTTAAGTGTTACCTCCACTGACGTACAAGAAGTCATCCTAGCTATCTAGAGCACTGCAATGCTCTAAACTACTAAAAAAAACAGATTGTCAGTTTTATTTTTAATTCTCTCTCGAGATTGCCTTTCTTCAAGACTACAGTCTCAATTTCTAAAAGATCACCTGAGTAATTCCCAACTGATATTCTCACTAGCAATCCAGCAATGACCACACCAAAACCCCCCACATCTGTGGGTTCTCCTTTCATACTGAGATTTAAAGACCGTAACAGTCACCTGACTCCACCCTGGTATCCCGCTCTCTACTTCCTGAGTAGTAACTATATGCACATGAAGCCTGGGAAGTGCACGGTGCAAGAAAAAGTAAATTTGATAAGAACTGAGCCCAGGGGAGGTAAATTAAAAACGAGTCAGTTCGTTTTAGCTCTTCCTCTACAGAATTCCGTACAACTCCTTGGTTAGATAATTATTTGCCTTTGAACATCAAACCTCTACCACAAATAGCTCATCTGTCCTACGGCCAGTCTTCTCCAAAGGGCCTGGGTGTCTTAGAAGAATTCAGGTATTTTGTGGGAAGGATCACTTGCATACCCTTCTGTATTTATCTGTAATGAAGATAAACTTATGTCCTCTGTAGACCAGTAATAAATAGATGCAAATAACATGGGAATTTATACATAGGAATATGCAGTTAATTTCATAACACCTTAAAAAACTTCATGCAAATATACCCACTAAATCAAGCAGCATTTTAAAACACACAGTAATCACAACAGCAAACAGTACAAATGAGAAAATCCTGTGTACGTACCACAGTGCTTCCATTGTGCATGTTATGTGTGTCCTTATGGGCATGGGCACAGAAATCTATGCAAGCTGTGACACCAGAGAAAGGCCTACCGTCCTGGGATCCAAGCCGACAGTCTGGGCCCATTTGTTCATTTTGCACCTAAAAGTAAAATAAACTACAGGTACTTGGGACTGAAAGTGTGTGACTGGGAACCCCATGAGGCACAACGGCACTTGTGACGGAATAAACGCAGCCAGTAAGAATGATCGGAAAGCATGTATTTTCCTGCGAAACATGCAACACTTCGGACTGGATGTCAATGAGATAATCAGCTCAGCCAGAGTCAAAATGTCTTTAAATAACAGAAACATTTTATTTACAGTATTACCTCTAAGTCTTTTATATATGCACAGCTCAGGGCACAACTCGACCATCAGCTGAAATAACAAAGGTGCCGCATTTTAAAACTAGCCAAATGAAGTAGCCGCTGCAAACAAGCACGGGGATTCACCACATCTGTGAGGTCTGCGGCTTCTGCCCATGAGCAGGCTTTGGGGCTTCATCTTGTTTTCAAACTATGCTGCCTGTAGCTACAGCTACACTAGCTGAATGTCACAGACCTACCTGGTTCTGGAAAGCTTCGGGAGCAAGCTTTTTATAAACTGGAGCCACGTCAGTAGCTAAAGTTTGCAAATTATTTTCAAGCAGTTCCTCCTGCAGAGAAAGGCAACATTTAGAGCACTGTAATTTGCTTTAAAAGAATCTAATCCAGTTTAGAGATGCCTGACAAGTCAGCCTCTATCCTGTATTTTATTAATCTGACTTCTGTTCTGCTGCCCTTTGTCACCAAACATAAATAAGCCTACTTTTGTATGACCAAAATACCAAAATTGTTATATATAAGTCAACCAAATCACAATAGAGAATATCTCCAGGGCAAAGAAACCCAACACAAAAGGAACTAATTTCTGCATCACTTCCCCCTTCTGAAACATAGGCAGTCAAGGAGGGAGGTGTGTTCCACACAAAACAGAGAAGTAACATGCAGGAGACAAAAATTATACCACCTGCTGAGTGGAGATGGAACCCCCGGTTTTCTTTTAGTGCTTTGCTTATGGGGCCTTAATTTCTGTTGATACAGCCCTGCTACAAGAATCCTAGGTTTCCACCTTCTTTTAATCGCGTAACTCCCAATAGCATTTAACATTAATTTTAGCTCTTAGGGGAAGAGGTATGTTTCTAATATTGCAACAGAACTCTTATCAGGAACATCTGATAAATATTTTGTTCTTTGGAGGTGCAAAACTCAGGACTTTAGGGAAATATCTACTAGATCAGGAAGTGATATTCCTTTCCTTGGGGTAAGCCATACAAACACGAAACTCGCTAGACGGGCTTCTACAGTAGTGTAACACTTAAGATCTTATTTATAGAAACAATCCCTGAATTTTTTCCTAAATTTTTGCTTTTCCAGAAAAATCACCAACCAACTGGGGAAGAAAAAGGTGGTGACATACTCCCTACTTTGTTTTCCTCCAAGGGTCAGGCTTTGAGAGACAACCGCAGCTTCAGTTTTGCATACTGTAGAGTGGCAAAAAGTAACAGTTTATTTTATTTTGTTTAAAAAAAAAACCCAAACCATTTATCACCATATATTGTAAAGACCAATGTACATAAACATATAAGGATACTTTTACATCTTTCAATGTGATGTTACATTACAAAATGATACTGTATTTTTAACTCGTACTATATAGCCACTTTATCAACTGTTGGTTGCTACCACAAGTTTTTCTGAACTGCGTTGAAGGTAATGCATCCTTAATTATCTATCCTATGAACTATTCTTACCTAGGTATATTACAACCTTAACCTCATCTCACTCCATCCAGTGCCTCAAATGATCCAAATCTTTCTGGACTTCGAACTATCTTCTTCTTAATTTGCTATACCTCCTAGCTTTATGTCATCTGCAAAATCATCAATATCCAATATTTAGCTAAAAGAAGTATCTGCTAGAAAAATTAACGACAAAACCAAATGAAGAGAAAAATTATTTACCCGTAATTTGAGATGCACTGACAACCTGAACACACAGTGCAGATGCCCAAGCACCACTGTCGCCTACAGCCGGAGACTTTTTGCACAGCGGTGGGCTAAGGGTGCACGTGCTTCCCCGCCCCCGGCACACAGAGTTACGTGGCACTTGTGTGCTGTGCAACCCTCATCCCCCCTCAGCTGCAGAATACGAAGAGGCTTTAAAACAGCTTCCATGGAAAAGGAGAAGTAAGGGAATACACTTTTAGATCACACATCTAGAAAATGTCCTAGTTAAGTAATCCCTTTCAGGCAACTGCTTTTACACTGTGGCAGAGGCATTCTCCTCAAAAAAATTACAGGTTACCTGTCAAGCCAACAGGCTGTGCCAGACAGCTCTCACGGCAGGGTACCATTTCTAGGTGCTGCTGAGAATGCCGCTGTGCCTGACTACGCGTCTGTGTGGAGCTCAAGGTGGCCACTTCACAGACTCGGAGGAAGTGACCCCACCAACAGAGCATGCAGTCTCACAGAGTGCATGGTGATCAAAGACAGAGCTATTTGAGCTCTCTCATAAGAGATCTGGCACAGCCTAATATTTCATTAGATGGCACACATGAAGGGTGCTGCCTTTGTTAATTCCCCAGCTAATGTTATTAAAAATTATTAAGAACATTACAAACCTACAGAGAAAACACATGCAAAGAATGCTCCATGCACAGTGTTACACAGGGGGAGAACCTAGAAACACAAGACCACAGAGAATAGAAAAGGACAAAGGAGAAGGAACGTGATTCCTAAAATGAAAAGAATGTCCAATAAATACAGTTCTCTATAAACTGAAAATTTATAAAAGAAATCCCCTCTTCAGACAAGCAGGGCTATTTTCAGCTTGTACTGCCTTAGTCATGAATTCAGCGAGAAGGGCAGAAGGGCTGCGTGTGCTCTATTCTGCTGGGACAGAAGTTCCCCACTTTAAGCACTAATGAAGTTTGTGCATACCCACAATGTGAGCAGCCAGCAGAGCTCAGAGGAGAGAGGGTTTTGAGTTCATGTACATATGCATACAAGATGCTTCATCGACTCTTTCAGGAAAAAATTAGGACTAGGGAGGAATATTTAGCTCCAGTCAATCAACTGACATTTCTCTCTTCCAAGAGGCAATTAATGTTTCACATTGTGTGTACACATGCATGCGTACACTATACATGAAAAAAAGCAAGAATCACTCTACTACTATCTGGAATTCCACCAGTGAGGTCTTTTCAGTAACTGGCAGCACTGGAGCTCGGGAGCCGAGAAAGGTTATTGGCCAGGTAACCCAAACGGAGAACTGCGTAACTGACTGCCCTATAGTGCATGTCTCAAAGCATGCCAGATGCGCTAGTAAAGACGTGATGCTTTAGGAGTTCCACAGGGAAGTGGGGTTAGACACATCCACAGTCAGAACAAAAAGCACTTCTGAGTTACCCTGAGGAACATACCTTCATCAGGCAGGGGCTTTCAGTTTACAGCACCTTCATTCCTCCTTCATGAAAGTATTCCCAATGTAAAAACTGGAATTTGGCTGGGTTTTTTTAGCGGTTCATTACTTCACATAATGCACCAGCGTATTTTCTGTGCTATCTCAGCTTTATGTCATCACTAACACTCATAAACAGCCATTACAGTATCATTTCACTGCATCATATTTTAGTGTATTCATTCCTTCAAAAGTGTTTAAAAAACATGCTTTCCACTGAAAAACCAGTTTATTCCAGGTGGCAGACAGAAGACCAGACTGTCAGATGGTCAGCCAGCAGTGTGAAAGCAGTGCAACCCAAAGTACAAAGTCTTCTATGACAAGGCAAAAGGACTGAATCGCTGAGGTGCAGCCTTGGTGCTCAGAAAAAACCTTTAGTTGTATTTTACACGTAAAGAATAAACATTTCATACAGTGTTACACAGAGGAGCTAAATATGCATACAGAAAAGCATTTAAGGACAATTTTAGGATATTTAAACACACAGTAAATGACACTGAGTTTTCATACAGTGGAAAAATTATAAACACTGCAGTTACAAAGCATTTAGTTGAGTGCCTGTGCGATAAGCTAAGCATACATGCATGTGTGAGAGAAAAAGGGGTGAGTATCCCTAGATCCCAATTCTAGTTCTGAAAGTCACTGTGTTTGGAGGACAACACAACAATAAAATAAAACAAAACAAATCTTACTTGCTTAGGGTCATCCGTGAGAAGTCTAAATTTCCTGGGGTTTTTGCTTCTGGCGAATTTACAGCCATTGAAATACATACTCCATGAACAGCCGAATGAGAATGACGCTCCACAAGTTTCTGGATCAAGTCCTTGACATGCACAAGTACGACTATGAAAGGAAAAAAAGACATGTCAAATCAGCTGACAACGCAGCTGTTGTTTTTTTTTTTTAATGTCAATGCTATTTGCTTTTTTTTGTATAATACATAGCATAACAACATGGGAATTTATAAAACACATGGTTTGATCAGATATTTTCTGTTAAGGTAGTATTTATGTGTAGAGGACTGACTTTTTTCCCCATAAAGACAGTCTCAACTCCTTGAAGCCCCACTTCTGGGAAATACATAGCACTCAGTTATAGCTATATAAATATACCCATGCTACTTATTTTGACTACTGCAGTTGGATAGAATTTTTATCCAAGAAAATACCACTCCTACTAAAGGTTACTCCCAAATCCAGTAATTATTTTGCTATGTGTGGCAATACTATTAGCTCCAAATTGATCATACTTTAAAAGTGGAAGAACCCTACTTAGCCCAACCCTTTAAGAACACAAGCATTACATCCAGGTTACTGTGCAGCTATTACGAGTGTGATTAAACACAGACTACACAAACAGCAGCACAAAGGCAGCACTGCTACAGCACTGCAATGTATTATTTAGTCAATTAAACTAAATACCTTTCAGAGAGTCACAGAGAGGAAGATCTTAATTTTGAGTGTTCAATCTCTCATTTATTTAAAAAAGTCACATATGACCACCCTGGCAGCTCATTAGCACGGCTGTGTGTGCAAAGGGCACACTGAATGTCTTGGGCAGCGTAGGCAAAGCCAGTAGACATGTCCATTGCCACCCCTTTCCCTGGGTGTAGCCTGTAGAGTCTGGTCTCTAGGAAAAGCCAGGAACGAAGTTTTATACTGAAATGACACCTAGTGGTTTGTAATTTTAAATGAGCTTTTGTATATTATTTTATTAGTCCTACTATTGAATTCTCAAGTTATTTACTGCAGAACATTCAAAAGGCAGCACAACTTACTACTTAAGTAACTTACTCTTCATTTAACGCGCATCTACGGCTTGTCGGACAGCCGTATTTTCTGAGACTCTGCGTCAGTTCTTTGTACAGCGTATCAGCCAGGAGATGAGGGATCCCTTCCCAGGCCAGTATGAGAATCACGATGACGGCAGTTTGACAGTGGTGTCCTGCACGCTGACGTACCAAGCACAGCAACTTTTCCTCATCACTACTTCTTCGTATCACCTGGAAGAATCATTTGTTTACTACTCTTTAATAAGTGACAGAAACACATAATGCGTTAACTCTTCTCTGGGACATGTAAAGTCTGGAAGAATAAGAAATGCTGCTGCCCAAAGAGTGTCCATCAACAAGCAGGACCATGACACATCACACACTGACATCTGGTGTAGAACATGATGTTGCATTGCCTTTTTACCTGTAGAAGAAATAGGTGTATATTTTACAGGAGGAGGAATATTTTCGGTGTTCTACACAAATAATAAAGAAGATGCATTAAGAAGAAAACAACCACTTGAAGGAAATAATAATCCTGAGACAACAGATCCACTGAGAACCTAACAGTTGCCTTGGAAATAATACAGAAAACACACTGCCAAAAGCCAGAATGCAGGTACGTAAAAGCACATCACAAAAGGACGCGTATGCATGTGTTAGGATAGTTTCCACAGTTACATATCCGTACATAAAATGGTTCCTGCCTTGCAAAGTAAGATTAGAAGAAAGCAATGAAAATAAACTGTGTCCTTAGTGAAGGAAGCAAAGAGATTTTTCAGAATATATCCCTAGACACACTACATTAAAATTCTTAGCAGAGTGCTGAAGTTTTTTACTAAACTGTATGATATGCAAGCCAATCTTTGTCAACCTTATCCATAAAACACAAAGACTAACACAATTTGGAACAGTAAAATATACCACCAAACTGGAAAAAAAAAAAAGAAAAAAGCAAAAGCTAGTCAGTCCTACTCCCACATATTTAGGTTTTTGTCACAATCTGAAACAGAGGTGCATTGTAAGATCACAAAAAAAAAATGCATTAAAGTAATATAAGAACATAATCTTTGAAAACATGTTTATCTATTCTTCAAATGTGGTTTAGCCAGCACAGCCTGTACAAGGCCTCCAGCAAAGGTGCCAAGACCTCAGTGTCAAGCTTCAAGCATATTAGGCCTAGACCTCTCTCAGGCAATAGAGGCTAAATCCCCTTTCTCAGCTCTGTTGTGCATAGGATGGGGACCAGCAAGTCTCTCTCCCTTACTGCATGCTTATGGTGAGCCCTTAAATTGCAGACACTCTCTGCCAGCTCCGGAGAAATACGTTTGCTCTGGCTTTCCACCCAACACACCCTCTCCATCAGCAGAACTCCCACAGACACGTCATGGACTACAAAAGCAGGAAGGCCATAGAGTTTCACTTTTTGATATCTCCAAATATCTGAGTTTTCAGGCAGATTCCCTATCGGACTGATGTCATAGCTTCTTTGTTGCCAGACGTGCAGCTGTCATTCATATGTGACCCCCTAGCCTGATCAGCTGTATCTAAATTATTTGAACTCTCTAGAAATACAAAGCACACCTGCAATTAATCTGCAACTGAAAAGGTTTTTAATAGATGCACAGTTTCAGAGTGCAGGGTTAGCAGGACAAAGCAAGCTTAATTTGTGTCAAGACAGAAAGTATCACCCTTCTAAAGTTAATCACGCAGTCTTGCAGTCAGCCTTAAACTTCACGAAATAGCAAGCAAATGCACCTGAGATACAACTCCTCAAAAGGAGTCTTGGTTGTGACTGACCAACCAGTACAGTATTCTTTATAAAGGAATAAAATAACGCAACTCATTTACATTTGAGTGAAGTTTACAGAAAATCTATTATAGCTGATAAACAAGTTACTCATGTCAGCCTAGGTTTTATGCTCCCGAGGCAGCACAGGTCCTTCAAGTCAGAAGGAGAGGAATTTAATTTTGTTACTCAGTATGAAGGGCGAAGCTTTTAATGTTTTTTCTCTTTGTTTGGTTTCTAGACTTTGTAACTTCAGTAAGGAAAGCTGGTACCTCTTATTAGTTTCTCAGTACAACATCAGGTTGCCCTTTTTGAGTTCTTATAGTTCTAAACTGGAAATACACAGTCCAGGAAAAATGACAAATGGACAGGAAGGAAATTTATGGTTTCCTTTAAACTAACACCACCACTCCTGGAGTTAAACATAGCTGGAATCTGCTTCATTATGCACGCAGTAGAGAATACAATACTCTTACTGGATATAAAACCATTTTACAATCCATCATCTTTCAGGCCACGAAGGTAGCTAATGGATTTATTAGTTGTCTGAATTGAATTCCTGTGGCTCTTGAGAGGTTACATCATGTGCTCATCTGACTATCACAGCTGGAGCGCTCCCGTTCTTTTGTTACCAGAGACAAGGAGCTTTTCGCACCTGACTGTTACGGTCTTAGAAGAGCACAACTTGCAGCGAAACCATCACAGTTCCTCCGGGCCCACAGCCAGCAACAGTGCAGACATAGCTGGGGCTGTGCTGCTTTTCCCGTATAAGCTGATCATGCCCCTTCACACGCTACGGCTGACATTCTCAAAGCAGTAATAAACAGAGCCTCCCTTTTGAAATAACAATAAATCCACAGCAATACCACACTCAACATACAGAAAAGCACATTTGAGCAGGAGAACTGAAAACTGCAAATAAATTCAACCAACAGAAACACCAGGTCATTCTTGATGATTTCACAGTTTTTCTAGCAAGGGAAACAGCTGCTGCACTCCTTGACTTGGTGGCTTCTTAGTTACGTTAACACTGATGTAGCTCCATTAATTTCCAACTTGTCCTTTGTTTTCCAGTGCCTGACTACATCAAATACATTTTTGAACTCTACAATAAATTATATGTACATATATATTAAGCTAAAGTAAAACTGACTTCATTTGCTTTTGTTACTAAACTTGTGGTTATCTGAATAATTGGTACAATCCAAAATATGACTACAAGCTGTGCACTGCTTATCCACAGCCTGCCTGATGTGCTTACAGATCAGATTTCTAACTATTTCTCTAAGTAACAGACATAGTAAGGCTTTAGTCGATTATTTCTTCAGTTACTCTTTAGTTGTTTCTACTTTATACCTTCATTTCTACTCCAGATTCTGCAGCTTGAAATTACTGGGGATGGTTCCAAGATATTTTCACTCTTAAACATCCCCAAACCATACAGTGTTTTAACCAACTGCTCCCACTTTCCCCCTTTACTTTATGGAAACACAACACTTGTTAAATTCATACAAAAGCAACACTGTCTTAATGATGTCATCAAGAGAGCAGCAGATATAAATCTCAGCCTATGCTTTAGTTTACTTTTTTCTTTCAGCGTGCAATTTACACAGTGGTCCTCCTCAGTAAGGCAAATGGAATTAGTATACTGTCACAGCCACAGAGAATACAGTAATAATGCAATTTATTAATAAATTCTTTATGCAGTAATTTAAAATGCGTATTTATTTACTATCGAATGTTTGCAAATGTTAATTCCCAATGTACTTATTGTTTACCTGTGAAACACAGATGCTAAATATGAAGTTAAATATACAAGAAACAGAGCAAGTCCCTGAATGTTTCCTCAGACTGTGAACAATGCACAAATCAGCTGGCAAATCTTGTCTTCAAAAGTTGTTGGCATTTCTGTGATGTAGTTAACAATAGTGATAAAGTAGATAATTTAATACTTTCATTTATTTAATTCTGGCCCTCACACATTTAAAAGGAACGCGAAAATAAACTTTTGTTAAGTGGTGGAAATTTAAGCCTAGCTTTTTGAAATGGAAGAATAAAAACTTTTCCCCTGCAATTACTTTTCACACAAAATAACCACACCTTCATCGTGACTCACAGAGAAAAATAACATAATCAACAAAACAGACTTGTAGTAAGTTGTAACACTTAAATGTCATATGGTAGTCTTTTTGCAGGTATGTAGGGACAGATTATCCCTGAACTCATTTTAGCAAGCAATAACTGTCATCAGTACTGAGTATCCATCAAAAGATTTCTGCACTAAGAACAAATAATCTGCTTCAGCTACAATGCAGCACTTCTGGAAAGCAACAGACCTGACAAACCCCCCCCCCCCGCGCAATGCCTGACTACCAATAGCTGGGTGTGAAGTTACACACTACCCACCCCTTCACCTGTTTGCCAACACAACCATATCTAGGACAAAATGAAAAACTGAAACAGGACACACCTCCTTCCAAACAGCTTTCTTATGCACATACATATTTGGACACACAATACCACAAGTATCATCTTTGTGGGCTGCCAGTTTGGGCAGGATGCTCATTTATTTTGGTCATTTTCAAACCCAAGTTTTGTATATCCCTCCTGTGCTTTAGTCAGGCATCCACCCCTACTGCTTTCATCACTCCTACTCTCTTCTATCCATGTGTTGTTGTTTAGGCGTACATCTAAAGGAAGACTGCAATTCAAGTCCAGATATTCTCAAATGGGAGAATCTGAGAATATGAGCAAGCCTTCAAGGGGAGCCACAGCCTGACAGCTAGGACAGAAACACAGTCAACAGCTATTGTGGCATCACACCACAGCTAAATCTCTATTTCTACAAGTCACAAAGGTAGAAGTTTACCCAGTTTTCTTAACAGAAAGCATGAGCCAAAAAATAGAGTATACCTATTGAAGAGGTGCCTGTACACAGCAGAACGTGCTCCAGCAATTCAGCAAGAAGTTACAGGATAAACCAGAAGAAACTGGTTTCTCACTCAACAGAAACTGGTTTCTCACTCAACAGAAGAAACTGGTTTTTCACTCTCTCATATACAAGGATAGTGAAGCGACAGAAAGGGATGCTAAGAATTAAAGAACTGAAGAATACTAAAGCAGGACGAGGTCGGAGGAATGGACAAATTATCTAACCAGCAGATTTTGCCTCTGCGCAAAGGCCATGCATGAAGTCCCCTCTATGCAGGATGAGATTCTCTGCGAAACTATTCCACCATAATCTACACCAGCACAAAGTGAGAGCACAGGGCTGTTAAAACCTGCTGCTGTTCTAGCAGGTGATGCTGCGTAACAGACAGCAGGAGAAATGTTCGTTTGCCACAGAAGTGAGTCTGCCCTTCTTCTTCCTAATTCACTCCTACACACGCATTAAACCACATTAAACTCTTCTCTTACTGGAAAATGTTATATGCTTTTATTT